TATGCTTACATGAAATATCAAATGTTAATTATCCATCCGAAAAGACAATAAAGTATTTATAAAAATTATGTACTTTCAAAAAAGTTCCTATCATGTACTGACGTGATGGATGCACATTATGAGACATCAGGTTTCTAGGACGAAACATGTGTCGGAGCCTTTCCCGGTTTTCTTTTTGGTCTTTAGTTTGTGATAAAAATAACTTCTAAATAACCAACCCACAATTTTGATTTCTCTTTGAATAGTATTTAACATGATATTGTCTAGTTTTCAGGACAAACCGTATTCGATTAAGTTAATCTACAATGTTATATTCAAGTTAAATGACTAGTGCATTTCACTATTTTAGTATTAAGAAACATAATACCCTCTGTCTATGATATTCAAGTATAATTTTTTTAAATAATGAATTAAACAATGATTTTTGACAAAAAAAAAGAGAATACACAACTGTACGTTATCCATTTGATTAAACTCAACATGACAGTTTTCGAATAAATGTACTTTGACTAGTGGTAGATCCCAAGACAGTAGGTTCCTCCCTATTTAGGACTAGTAAGCTGTATCTACTTGAAATGATAGTTTTTAATGCCAAAAAATAAATGTCCCAAAGAGTTAGAGAATGGAGAGTTCTAAAATGAATGAATGAGTTGAATTTTTAAAACACGAGCTAACTATTAAATTCACTTGGTGTTGTTTGTTTGTATCGTCCCATTGTTGTTTTGGACTGCTATTGATCAATCACTTATTAGCATATGTACATCCTGTGAGGATCGCCTCGATATAGCCTTAAGTCACAAGCTATATAGGCAAAGATGGATAATAGCTAGCGTTTTCATCCTGGTTGAGACTTGTCAGCTAGATATACCTGTATCTAAGAATTGGTGTTCACTCGGGGACAGTACTGAGTCCGAGTCCAGGAGTAAACATCAACCCTAGGATGCAGGTATACCCGACTGAAGAGTCCCAAATAGGACGAAACTTGCGTTCTAGATTCCACTACTAGTCACTATTCATCTTCGAGCTAAGTACTATTTTAAAAGTCGGAAAAGATGAATTATTCAACATCTCATTTATTTTAAATTATGATATATATATTTTATAAATAATGTAGATGTCTACTTCTTATTTTACTACTGAAAATGTCTCTTTCAAAACAATCTTCAAAATATCTACATTGAAATAGAAACAAACTTTTCAGTTATTAACAAATGCTGATTGATGAATTGTACAATACAAAATTCTTTTAATAAACCATATCCCTTCGGGTTTGTTTTTCTTCTTGGATACCCATCTTTCATTAATTTTCTTTACATTTATTTACAAATACTTAATTTATCCCGGATTACTTGACAATTCAACTTAGTTCGTTGGTTAAAACAAAATTGACTGTATTTCTTGTATTTTATATTCCATAGATTTAGTTCAGTTTACTTACCTATATGAGATAATCCTTCGATTATTGAGTAAATATATAGTTACAGTCAACTAATTTTTACTTTGTTAAAGCATACTATTTATCCTTAGAAAATAGTCAAACTAATTTAATCCGTTTAAAGAAATACATATTCAGCTAATTCATTTTAAAATATATAAATTATAAAGTTTATTTTCTATGACGCTCAAAGTACTTTTATGGTCAGAAAAAAATTATCCGATTAAATTATAAGAACTACCACTCCACCCCCACCTTCCGTGTTTTACAGATTGCTTAGTGATATGATGAACTGTTTTAGCAATAGGGGGATAGATTTTTTTCAGAAAAAAACAGTGATTTTTACTATCATTTGTTAATCTTTTTAACAATGTAAAATTGTAATATTTACTACTTATTTCTATATAATTTTTTATAATCACCTCCGGAAGATACACTTTTACATTGATGTATTTTGTGTACTTTCTCAAAATTGTATTTAATGATATAATCTAACTATTATATTAAATGAACAATTGGGTTTATTGTTAAATTCTGTTAATAATACTAACAAATTGTTCAAAGTATCATGAATTAATTATGATTGAAATGTATGATTTAATGTAAGCAAAAATGAATAATAGCTAGCAGTGGAATTCAAGATGCACGTTTCGTCCTATTTAGGACTCGTCAGCTAGGTGTACTTGCATCTCAGAGTTGATGTTCACTCTGAGATTCGAACAGATTGATCAATTGCAGTCCTGAATATCAATCGGAAGATTTAAGTAAACAATATCATGATCGATAAAAGGTTCATTTTCAAAAAAATAATGAGATAATAGAATTGATCTGAAAAAATCTGATCTATTCATATTAATACATTTCAAATAATCTAGTTACATACATATAACTGTAAAATTATTGACATATAAAAAACAGTAGGTCCAATGTATGCCAATAACAGTCAGTCCTATTACCGAATTTAAACAAAGCAGGAATAACAACATTTGTAGAATACAATTAGTTGATTGTATATTGTAACTTACTCTTCAATTACATATAAGCTAATCTAATTGATTATTGTAAATTATTAACATAATTTAGAATTCAGAAAAATGGATTGTTCATCATTAACAAATAAGTTGTCTGAAATATAAATAATGATAAGAACTAAACCTTTAATAAAGTTTTTTTTATAAACCCTTGAAGAGGTAGTTATTGATAAAAATTTCGTTTTTTTTCTTTTCGAATTCCAATTTATGTTAATGATTCTCAATAAGTAAATTTATTAGCTTGTATGTAGGTGGAGAGAAATGTACGAATAACAATAAACTCATTGTATTCTGTCAATTTTATTACTCTCATCCTGTTTAAATACTAAATGATAACTGAAAATATAAGAGATGGATAGTTTTATGCTTATTAATAACGATTTAAGCATCATACCTTTCAAACAAGTTAATAGATTTATGGACTCAATAAATCAGTGAATATCATGTTGATGTTTGAAACGAAAGATTCCTAGTTCATGTATCATTAGGAACATCAACACTGAGCCGACTAGTCTGAATAGGACGAAAGGAGGAATTCCACTGCTAGCTACAAAGCATCTATTCTAAATCAAGATAATCCCTAAAGAACGCATATATATATATATATATATATATATATATATATATCAAAAAAGTCTGTTCACAATCTAGTCCTGATTATCAACAAAGGGATCATTCAAACCCATGGTTGTAATATGTTGTTATCGTTTAAACTAGTCGATAAACCAATATTATAGTATTGCTAGTTACTAAGCTTTATTCTTCTTACAACTCTTATAGATTGTATACAACAATATAGTTTGTGTACGAAAATCATAGGATGGTTGAATTTATACCACACTAATTCATATTTATATAAATCTATTCACAATTGATTGATCACTGGGTGGTGATCAGTGTCATGTGTGTCAAGTCCTTCTTAGTGCAGATTGAATGCTATCGACCAAGTTGTAATGTGGCCACTAGTCTAGGTGACTCAACATTGCGTGCACTATGTTGAGATTAGATGGTGGTTGGAGGTAGTCAACAGGAAACCCGAATCCAAGGTCTCCTGTTGACTACCTCCAACCACCATTTTATAAATTTATTACCATTATATTCTTCAAATAAAATTTTAATCTTACCATTTGTTTCATATGTGTCCAAGCATACCATTAAATGTTGAATAAAAACATTTGTGATAAAGAAGTTTAGTTTATACTGGATTATTTGATGTGTTTTGTTTATAATATAATATGAAAGAAAGACCTACATCCTTAAACTGATCAGGGACTATTTAGATAAAGAAAATTTTATTTTTAAGTACAATTCGGTGAGTCAGTTTTAACATGAATTAGCATAATTGCTATGGTATTTATTTAAGAAAATACAGATATTCTTAGATTGTGAACTCCAACCTCGTTAAATGCAAATAACTTTTATCACAAAAGAGAATCTATTAGGAAACCGGTGGAAATTACTAGAAAACTGGTTTGTCTTTAGTTGGAACTTTTGACCACCGTGTACTCATAAATCTAGATAGAGCTGAACCCAGGTAAACTGAAGTTTCTTAGTGAACAAGGTATATTTTGATCATCGAATTTGGATTTATTGATTCGTATTTCAAAATTCAGTTGATTTTTGATGCAGCTTAACCACCTCAGTCCATGATGAAGATTTAAATTGAAATTAAGATATACGTATGATATTGTAGAGATGAAATACACATTGAATGACCAGACAATTGATATTTCTATCATAGCGTGTCATGATAATTCATTAAAGTTTAATAAACAGTGTGTAATCAATGAAATCAGTCTAGTTGTTCAAAAGAATTATCAAACTTTGGATGTAAAAAATTAAAAAACTGACTTTCTAGATGAATTCTCTGAAATTCCAGTATGAAAAGTTTACCAACACAGTCAATTACTTTAGGAGTAAGATAGTGATCCATACAGGATTTTCGACTAAATATCCGTTGTTTTGTGAACTAATTAAGGTGAAATAGGTGAAATATTGGATCTCGAATAGGCGATCTTACGAATTCTTGTTTTTGGTTTTTGAAAATCCAAGATATCTACGGTTTGATCTCGTGTGTGATCATCGATGTTCAATCCTTAGATGCCTCAGATTAGTACATGACATCCGTCTAATACTCTAAGGTTGTCAAGGGTTTTTTCACCATTTTATTGACAAATAAACCTTTGCAAATTACTTAATCTTTGAGATTTATCTCATCTCAAAATATTATCATGATTATATATTGGTGCACTAATGAATGTAGTAGACAGTTGGAATGTACTTTGATTGTCCTACACTGTCACATAATTCATCCTCTTTCCTTTCTTTCTATTTCTAATTCACATATACACACATCCATTAACCAGAAACGTTTACACATCTAGATAAAAAATGCAATATTGTAGTGTTTACAAGATAAGAATTTGAAAATATTTTGTGAATAAGCAAATAAATTCTCTTCTAATCTAAACTACTAAAAACCAAAAAAAGTACACATACATATGTACGACAATATTAAAGTCAGAATAACTTACCGAAATTGGCTACATTGTACTCTATAGTTAATGTTAGACAACTTCTTAAAGATTGTATTAATTTCATTGCTTCTTCACAAGTTAATTGTCCTGTGTGTATACTGTTAATTGTGAGTATACGATCCCCGGGTTTTATTCGTCCGTCACTGAATTTTAAGTACAAAACAAAAAATGAAAATAAGTCCATAAGAAAGTGTAAATAAACAGATGAACAATAATTTCAGTTCCTAACTATATATATATATATAACGTTTTTTATAACGTGGAATTTTCGTCATAGAAAATAATAAATGACTTCTAAATGTCATTGAATTCACTTGACTAAGTTAATGTGAGCACTTTTAATTGTTTCATTATTTTATAAAATTAGTTTTCATTCTGATGATCCTTAGAGAACCATTCAGTTTGAAAATGATACCTTCCCCAATAAAACAATCTAGGTCAGAGAACGTAATATCATCCATACTCAATATAAATCTTTCCTGTTGTTTTAAAATTCATGAGAGACCATTTTACTCCAAGAGTTATTAACCTTTTAGCACTAGTAAGCCTTTAAATAAAATGAAATGGCTAACTCGTTTAACATCCTGACTGATTACAGTAAGACTAAGCATTAGCTCAAAATATTTATATTGATTTGAAGAAAGTCGGAAGATCAATTCCGAATAAGCTCACTCGTAAGTTACAGCTTTCATAAGAATTTTAGAAACTATATCTTTACGTTATTCTTTAACTATTATTATTTGGCCAATTTTGGGAATAATTTCTGATATTTTGTTAGAAAGCTAATATAGTTCAACCATTTTTAGAGTGAGATAGTGACTTGCTGGTAAAACATCCTAACAATCACGAGATTTGGTAAATTGACTTAGGTTGCATAATGTGATTCATTACATTCTGAATCAGTGACTTAATGGGACTGTCCTCATCACGGGAACTGAAGATTCTATGTTTTACCTATAGTGAACACTTTTGAATACTTGAGCAAAGTAGCTTTCTAGCATTCCTGTTTCTCAAAGGTTCTATAGCTTATTTCAGTCACTAATTTAATCTAATTTCTAATTGACCAACCATCATAAATTTTAGAAAGCTTTCAAATATGTTAAGCTCTTAGGTATAAGAGTATTATCAATTAATTAAAAGTTCATGATATAGTCATGGAATAGCTTACACTATTAATTTATTCAATAGTAAATAATCCTAATGGGAATAAATCTTGCCACTTCCATATTTTAAGTAATTTAAGAGTTTTTCTCAATGTCCGATATTTTTTTGACATCATCTACCAAACGGAAGTTTTTTAACAGATAAGCTCTTATCTATAATCTCGAACTTTTTAAATAGTATTCTTTTTGAACAATGTTATTCATATATCATCGTCTGGTTTAGTGAATTGACCAATAAGCCTTACAAATATATGCCCTGATAGCTGACAATGCTTATCTTTAGCCTCTAGGGAATAGAATTTGGATTCGAACCTATTTTCCATAATTTCACAGTCAGAGAATTTATCATTCAGATATTCAAACCGTAACTGTTTTCCTATAGGACAATACTCACATGTAAATATACTACTCAGAATTAAACAATAATATGTTGTCTGATCCTTGGTTCAGTTTAAAGAATGTAATCAGAATGAAGACTTTGATAATTTAATAGTTTGTTGGACTGGTTAGCTTTGAAATTATAATTCATGAATTTATTAGAATCAGCAATGTGTTTATATGATGTCAAAAATTCCATGTCAACTTCATCATAACATTATTCTATACTTTGATGCTGATTTGAATACGTTACTTCATGAAGAGCCTTAAACAAGAATGTCATTACGTGTGATCGAGTATTAAACATGAGATAGTTACACATTATCTCCTAACATAATTTTTTAAGCACAATGAAACGTGATCTTACATAATAATGCATATAAATCTGAACAGTATGCTCTTAGTCTTACACTATTCAATTTCAAAATTTTTATTTAGAACAGGTTATATAAAAGAACAAAAAGTGTAATATATCTCATAAGGATCACTATTTTTCATATACATTCAGCTTCAGAGTTGGTTTACTTTGAATGATGACATATTTGCCTTTTTTTTTCCACTTCAAACACTACTACTACTAACATTAAACTTGTCATTTTAGTTTCTATCACTATTATCAATTGCATAATTAACTGTCTGGCGGATTCACGTCTTTGTTTTAATGATCCAATCAAATATCCATAAGTTTAATTACCGTTGAGAGTAAAACTTAGAATTTCATTGGAAATAATATTGTTTATTGATATCTCTCGTCTTAATTTTCTCAATATACATCGTGAATATTGTTGTCATTTGTTCAACTGATATTATATGTCAATTTCTATTAAAGGATGCTAATAAATTTGTATCATGATAGTATTTTCTGGTAAAAAAAGTGTATAATTTAGTTCAATTATCTGTAGGTTCAATAACATATACTATTCATGGTCTATGAATCCTTGAAATCATTCCAAAAGGTAGACTTTTGATACGGTCACCTAAAATGTGATATATTGTACCATCTTTTACATTCTATAGTCATTTTGTTTTCTTGTTCCCCGACTAAGTAATCATCATGTGTGGGTATTTTATCAGCATCACAGTCATGATATAATGGTTTTAGAATTTTCAAAGGATCACTTTATATATATATATATATATATATATATATATATATATATAATTATGAACTGATCAACCATTTTCAGTACTAAATATCTGCTTTCAGCTAAACGCTAAGTATAAAATTAAATCTAGGTTGATCAATCACTTACTGGTTGACTTGAACTACTATAAGACTGGAATACGTAACGTACGATTTTCCAGTCTTTTTTATTATCCGACTCATCCTCTAAAAACTATATATGATGATTAGTTAGCATATTCCTCAACGACTTTTCTCCATTAAAAAAGACATTTTTACATAATATTTTTTATTTGTACTCTATCAAATTATCCATATGATCATTGATCATCAGGAATATAAACAAATCTAACTAAATCTTAAGAGCAAAAAGCATTTTTGTTTCGAAAAAATCAGTGATCGACTTCATAAGATTTTTTTAATTAAATGAATCGATTAAACACTTAGCAACTAATAACTAAATGAGAAAGAGAAATATTTAAATTCATATAGCCCTATCGAAAATCATCGATTAAATATTTTAATTGTCAAGAATAAATCTTTCTAACAAAGTACTTTAATACTTTTACTGATGAGTTCAGTTGATCACTGAATGTAAACATTAACATTGAGATGAATGTATGTTCAGTTGATGAGTAACATACAGATTGAAACATGGTTCTTGGATTTCACTCTTAACCACTATCCTACTCTAATAAAATCTTGTAAGATGATAATATCAAAGTAATTTACCTAGAAGACACGCATACAAATAAAGACTAATCAATTGTAAACCTTAACATCACCAATGAGAAAGTGTAAACTCTTAAATAAAATGTAAACCCATTGTACAATCTAGTTGTTATCTAGTCTCAGTGGATAATATGATGATGTTTGAGACAAACTATATCAGGTTTGATTGCAGGTTCACTAAATTGATGAGTCTCTAATAAGAAGAAACACACTTTCTAGATTCTAATCTTAAAAGCAATCTAACTTTTATAGTACATTAAGTGTCATAGTACTTAATTGTTTATTATTTATGGTAGTTTATAAATCATGTCACCATCTTGTTAATTCTTACTTGATAGATATCTTTTATATAAAAATAATTCAATCAACTTCTTTGTTATTATTGTCTTTGCTGCTGTTTTGTTATTTCAACTGTTAATTAGTTTCATAGTAGATAAAGTTAAAAGAAAGTTTTACTATTAGAATTAATCATTTAAAAATTCTTATAGAATATTATAAAGAAAAGAACATTTAATTGAACAGAGGTTTTTCAGTAATTTCTTCTTCAGACCATATAGATATAGTCAAGATGAATATGAAAGGTGAAGGGTTAAAAGTTTGTGAATTTCACTCACAAGGTCAGCTGAAAAAAAATGAACCGACTTTATTATGGACAAACAGAAAGGATGAATGAACCTTTATTTTCACATATAAGTTTTGTTCATTAAATTTGATGCTGATGGCTCCTACCGCCTTAATAAGTCACAATCTCCTAACTTTTGCAAAATCACCTAGAACTTGGAAAATAAGTGAATAGATTTCATCTATCTTGATAGTAAACTTACCTTTTATCAAATGAAAAAGAATGCAAGACTATATGATTCCGTGATAACTTGAGAATATTCAGTCAAAACCTGATGACCCAGACATCTTTTATCTTAAAATTACTGTAACACTTTCAATAAAACCCTAGATTTCATACATTGATTAGAAACATTTAATTGGTTGCTAAATTTGTGAATTTCTAGTTGAAAAAGTAGTATTTGTTATTACATGTCATTCAAATTACCGTTTAAAAAAGCCTAGTGACAAACTGTTATACAACCATACATTTGCAAACCCTAAATAACTAAGAGTGTATTAATCTAGAAAGTAGAATTGTAATATTCGACACTTAGAGTAGAGATATTTCAGTCGAATCGCTTCTTTTTCATAGCCAACATACTTCAATAAAAAAAATTACTTGAAAATTTATTCCATTAAGCTCAAATGGACTACAAACTTTTAATTTATTCTGCATTGTCTGTTTGAATTGATCAGTCTCATGTTGGCATATATGCATCCCGTGCAGATTACTTCGATATCGCCTTAGGTCACGAGCTTTACGTTTCGTCCTATTTTAGACTCGTCGGCTAGATGTACCTGCATCCAACAGTTGATGTTCCCTCCGGGACTCAAGGTGATATTGAGGCAATCCAAAAAATATGCACGTATACCAATAAGAGATTAATCAATTACAGTTCAAAATATCTGTGGGGAGATTCAAACAAACAACGCATAATCAATTTACAATTCACCTCATTGCACAAGCTAGTAACTATTAGGAATCAGTAGCTCAATGGATAACGTGATGACGTCTGAAGCGAACCGTATCAGGTTGCAAGTACATCCAGCTGATGACTTCCAAATAGGAAGAAACGCGCATCCTGGATTTTACTGCTACCAATCATCCATATTTGCTTATAAACCTTTTAATATATTGTATTTTATTATTTCAATAATATATATATAGGAAACAGTTTATGTCAATAAATTTACTGTTATAGCGCATTATAATTAACCATATATCATTACAATTGAATGAAAAATAATTTTTCACTTATTCTATCTAATAACAGAGAAATAATCTTTTGTTTTTGATAAATTTTTTTTGTTTATAATTTTCTTTATTGCAATAAAGAATAAATTAACCATAGATAAACAAACTAATTGAATATGATTATCTATGGATTATAATCCATAAGGATAAATCTGTTTCTTATCATTAATAACAAATATACTTCACTCTTGCATGTTATCTTCCGTCAATGGATACATTAGAGAAAAATAAAACATGAAATAAAAATTGAGTAATGAATAAAACTGAAATTCAAGACATGTATTTCGTCTTATTTAAGATTCATAAACTGAATTTCTATTCACACTTCAGTAGCCATAATCATATTGAAATTCGAGTACAATATGAATGATTTGAAATGTTAATCTGTTATTTAATGAGATACTGAGTCTTTAACATTAATAACGGCAGAACATAACTTTGTTAAATACAAAAAAATGGATAATAATCTTTATTGTGTACAAATGTCATAACGATTAAATGAATTGATACTCTAAAGATAAGTGAATAAAACTTATTCAAAACCATCTTTATAACTTTGTAAAACAAAATGCATCAAACTTCTATTTAACAAACCTATATCGCTCAACAGAACTATTCTCACAGAAAGATAATAAAGTTGGAATTGGAATTTGTGGAGGTTGCAATAATTTCTTAACAGTTGAATTTATGGATCAATCTAAGCTAGACCACCATTGAAAGCCTGAAGGCTCTGGACAACCGTTCCGTCCTAGTATGGGACTCTTCAACAGTGTGCATTCAAGATCTCGCGCGCAAACGCTTAACCTCTAGACCACTGAGCCAGCATCTAACGGTATTATTGTTTAACTTCAATCAACGATCTTGCGCAACTCTTTATCCATTGTCTTCGGTGGACAACTGTCTCACACACTACATGGATTGGACTCCACTGGTCACGGCTTCTCACCACGTTGTGTTTCATAAGAGTTTAATTATATAGATTCGATCAGATTTCCGGAAATCTACTTCTTTACTCATAACACTATAAATGAATATGATGTACTGATACTAAACCGCATTATATAATATGAACTGACTATTGATTAACTTATTTTGTTCATAAACACTTGTTCATCAATAGTTCTAAACTTAGTTATCAAGTAAATAAGTAAAGCTTTTGATAATCATTTCAAGTAAGCAAAATATATTACAGCCTACAATTTAAACCGATCTCCACAAGACCTCTTCAAACGAACTGTAATAGTTAGCTCATTACTGAATTACCTGAAGGTATTTCTGAAGTTCTAGTAAGTAGTCATGACAAAAAGGAGTTGAGACACGTCAAGAATGAAACAATAGTCACCAACTCTATGAAAAAATCGTTGCACTGTGTTGCGAATTCATTAAATTTCATATTGCATCACTGAATATCAGTTATACATTCACCACGAAACCCGTAGGTCGTGCGTCACATCACTGGTGGGGTCCTGGATGTGCAACATTAAGGAATCATATACTAAGATGAAACAACTGTCCTGCGCTTCCTGGTTTTCAATGATACCTTAACTAAAATCGATCCTTGACGAGTACAACCTAAGAATTAAACTAATCTCCACAAAACTCCTTTAACTAAACTCGTAAAATCTACCGATCAAATAAATCTTTCTTAATGGTTAATTACTTATTTTGAAATATCTTTTATTGTTTTCGAGCATCAGATAACAGTTAATATCGTAGACTTATCGTCATTCAATGTTCTGCTTAAGTTCATGTTCCGCTTTCTAATTTATTGATTTCTTGTCTTGATTGAAATACACTTACACAAACATTTAGAACTGAACAACTTACTTTCATTTTCCTTCTAATTAATGCTAATCCATAAAGCATATTATTAACAAGAGTTCTATGAATCATACTTATCTAAGCTTAACAATACTTCAGGATACATTCAAGAGCACATAGTAAACTGGTAAACACTTTTCTTGATATTCAAAACTGTCTCACAGATAAAAATCTATGGTATAAATAATCTTTCAGTAAATCTTATTGATCAGTTTGAAAAAGTTATAAGGATTAATTCAATTCTAAAAAAATTGAAATATCTCACTAAAAACAAACAAATTGTGTACTTACAAAAAATTGGACTTCACAATCTTGAGAATGAGACTCACTGATAGAAATGACTGATCAATATGTTCTATTAAGAACTGAATTAGGCTAGAATTGTGGAATATTATTTGAATGCTTAAACATTGACAACTAGATCAAAAGACTTTAACTTTTGTCTTACATAAGGTTATGACTGTGTACTTCGGTGTTATACTCACAAACTAGGATGAAATATCTATTCATCAATTCCATATTCACATTGATTTTACAGTTGAAGTCAGTTTTTTAAACGAAAAATAACTATAAATTTACTTGGTTTTTTTTTCTTGTATTTTAGTGAATTTAAATTCACCCCATTGCACAAGCGAGTAGCTATCAGCATTCAGTAGCTGAGTGAATAACACGATGGCATTTGAAGCGAATGGTACTGAGTTCGAGTCCCGGAATGGACGTCAACTCTGAAATGCAGGTGCATCCAGCCGACGAGTCCCAAATAGAACGAAACACGCGTCCTGGATTCCACTGCTAGCCACTATCCATTTTTAATTAAAAAATAACTATTTCCGAAAGTTTACTTTATTAATTTAGATTGTTAATAAAGTAGTTCATTTAACAAACAGATCCTATCAATTGTTATCAATCGATAAAGTGAACTTATTAAACCTTGAATTTATTCTATCCAATGATTTTTATCATGAAGAATTATTCATATTTTTAATAAGATTCCCTTGCTATATTGACTATATTATCCACTTAAATAATAATAATATATTCGTTTACTAAATGATACTCAATTTCTGCATTTTAACCATTTGAATGTTTGTTATTACACTATACTACCCACAGAATATTTCATCAACTTATATCAAATAAAATATAATTAGATAATTATGATCTTTTATTTGTTTGTCTGTTTTTTTAAACAAAAATAAATAAATAAATGTACACTAGAACTTACCAGTCAGCAGCACTATTTTGTCGTATATGCATAACAGTTAATGGTCGAATAAGTAATGGTGATTTATTCCATCCACCACGAACGACTAAACCAACACCATCAGAACTAATTTTTAAATTAACAACCATATGTTTAACAGTACAACCGACAGGAGCTATCATAAACAATTTACATAGAAAATATAAATTAATTGATATTAAGTAAGGCAATACTTAAAGTGAAAATAGAAAAATTACTGAATTATTTAGAGAATTGGCGATTATTTCTAGAGAAATAAAACAAGATCAAACAAACAGATTAGTCAAATCTTCATTGAAAACTTAATATTGTAGGATGGATTCATTCTATTATAATCAGTTACGAATATTGTTTAAAGTTTATGAGAATCAAATCACAATTCTTTTGTTAATATTTTTAACACGAGTTTGACGTTTTCTTTTGGTTATTACACAATATTCATAATGACGATATTGAGACTTGGCAATGTGTATGACTTTTTTGCTCAGGTCACTTAGAGAAGTTCGACAATACTGTATGGTTGAAAGTAGGAAACCTGATACGTAGGTTTAACACTATTTAACATTCACTAACAAAGTTTATCTTCTATCTTGAAGAAACTGATTCCTTCCCACTGAGTCCAGGCCTATGTTAACCAACGTTACAATTAGTTATTTGGGCCTATCAATCTAGTTGGGTTCGGATTTCATGAAGAACAAACTAACTTTAAAAAATAAGTCAAAGATTCTCTGTTAATTCTCTTAATCTTTTATCATTGAACAAGAGTACCCCTACTTCAAATTAAATATGATAATATTACAACTTCATTGATCTCACTATTTTCATTTCAGTAGACTATCTTCACTCACAAATTCAACACTAGATTAATATAAAGGAGATGTACTCAGTTACTATTTCTATTCTTAATCATTTTACTTCTAAACTATTTACATTACTCACTAATGCGGCATGGAGTAAAAGTGTTAATCCAGAAAAAAGAAATGCGAAATTGGTTGTCTGCTATCACACTAATGCAAAATATCAATACATTCTATACTATTTTTAGACAAATTCGAGAGTATTAATGAGTTGAATACCAAGAAAAAAAACATTTACTAAAATGAGAAAAATAATTTGAAACATCATCATGATGATGTCTTCATCAACACATTAGTCAATAATTACTTACGTAATGCCGGTAATTCATATCCAATTTCCATTTGAATTTTTGATCCCAAATGTTTATTGGTAGTAGAGTTTTCACTTGACGTATTCATGAAATTCATTGATAATATATGATCATATGGTAGGAAACAATCATTTCTATATTGAATTCAATCAAGTTCAACAATAAATAATACATATTAAGTAAAGTTGTTGTTTCAAAAGAGACTTATTTTATTTTATGAAAATGTAAATAAATCTTAATACCAAAATGAAATCACTTCAACAGAAACTATCATTGTCTTACTCAATATACGTAACTAATAAATCCCTTAATTAAATAGAACATAATTTTATACAACGTTTTTATTAAATTATCAAATAGTTTCTGTCAACAAACGAATTACTTAGAAACATATTAGTGATAATCATTACAGACAGAAATCATTTTAAAAAAACTATTAACAACTAGAAAACACTAGACACCTATATCATTCTACTGTGTGACTCCTAGGCAGTGTACATTCAAGACTTCACCAGGAATCGAATGTAGGAAATTCAAGTTTCATGTCAAGCACTTCACTATTACAATTATGGAATTCAGAAGGGAGGTTTGTGGAGATTTCAGTGATTCACTAGTTTAATTCATGAGTCAGTTAAAGCTGGACAACCATGGAAAATTTGGAAGCACTGAATGAAATGACCACCCAGTGCTTACAGGTTTTCCATCGTGGTCCAGCTTCAATTGACTCATGAATTCAACTAGTAAATTATGGAATTAATAAAACTGCATTTTCATTTGCGTATTTTGTATACGAAAATGTGTTGAAGTTTTTTTATGTTTATGGTAATAATCACTCAAAATAAAATAAATATAAATGATTAGAAGAATATGAAGTCATCACCATAGCAATAACGTGTTCAAAAAGTAGTGAATTTTTGTCCTTTGATGAATTTACCTGAAAAAATAGAAGTCAAGAACAGTTTATTATCATCTAACATTAATTTTTTTTAAATTATGATTTCGCATCATAAATCGGCCTTAAAGGACCATCGATAACCAGAAAATATTGGACATCCATTTCATTGTAGTACGTGGATTCTCGATCATGTGCATCCGCGACCCTACCAAGAAAAGAACCAACAACTTTTAGGCCCCTTGTCGAGTGCTTAATCTCCAAACCACTGGGCTTCCGTTCAAGATTTTACGTTTCTATCTTCAATCAATTCGTAATACTGCACGACCATTATCGATTACTATCGGGAATACTTTTTTCATACTTGACATGGTTGAATTTCACTGGTGTAAATTTCCATTACAACCATGAGAATTATCTCTCAAACTTAAAACACGATGGATTTTTAATACAGAGAATTTTCGGTGATTATCTAACTAGTTAATTTATGGTGTAAAATTGCAAAACTCAAAGATTCCTAAAACCTACACTGAAAATATATACGTTTAGTTGAGTGATTCATGGAGACTAGTAAAGCTTGAAAATGATTTTTGGCAGTTGTGTAATCAGTGAAATCAATGAGTATTAAATAAGTATTCCAGTCTAGTTTGGAACTCTACAACGGTTTCCACTTAGTGACTTATCACAGAGGAGAGTTCCGGAACTTTAAATATTGTTTAAAAAATAAGGCTTTTTACTTTACTCTAAGACATTATTGTATGATTACGATTACAGCTGAATCACAAATGTGGCCGAGGAAACGTTAACCATTCAAACTTAATTTTTAGGCACCTATTTAATAAGTAAAATAAACATCGTTTGCCTTCTCATACGGTAATTGATGATAGTTTTGATATAATCAAGGACATATTGAATAAGCATAAGCCATATTTTAATCGTTTACATGGGTAGCCAAACATAACCAGAAAAAAGTTCTGAACCCAGGACCTCCAACCTTGCACACAAACGCTTAACCTCTAGACCATTGAACTGGAATCCAATAGCGTTAATGTGTGACTTCAACCAATCCATAATGTCACTTAACTATCTTCCATTATCTCCAATGAGTAACTGCCCCACATACGTCCAGTGTTACATATTTTCATAAACATCGTTTAGAAGAAAATATGTGATCATAAAAATTCAAAAAATGATGAGAAATTCCAAATTTGACAACAAAAATTCATCATTGAAATCATAATTCATCTGTCTGTCATTTTATTGAATGTCAAATAATAAAAGAAAATTGTTTAAATTCACATGTTTAGTAGTAATAAGAATGATATTGGTTGGTATATCTTTGTTTTCGTGTATAGAGGGGGGAGGATTTTATTCTCGTTGTTATGTTGAAAATATTATTTAATAATACATTACCGTTTGTCATCTTAACTACTTAGTATAGTTCATATATATATATATATATATATATATATATATATATATATATATATATATATATATATATATATATATAAGATTTTTAAAGTAAATTCCAGAGAATTGACTTAATTTACAGAACATATATATAGTCTTGAATATCATTACTATTGAAGAAATGATTTACATCTTAAATGGTTAACTTTATTCTTATGTTGATAAACAGAAATCTTTCAAAATTAAGTGTTTGTTTTTCTTTTTTCTTCATATCAACCCTTAAATTTTAAAGTACCCATGAGTTGTAACCATAATTTTAATTGGCTGAATACTAAATCAATTGTGTAACTTATTATTATCTTTACTTTTTCTGAAATATGAATATTTTCTTATGTAATAATTAATATTACAAGTTTTACTAAGGTTCCTAGAATTAGTAAATTCAACTCATTCGGATAAATGTGTCCATATAATTACATAATTTAAAATAAAAACAAAATAACTGTTTTCTGAATAAGTTGAATACAGTGTATTATAGTGAATCTAACTCATGGTAAATGAATTACAGGATATTTGAAAAGTATCAGTTAAGATGGCATCATCATATTCATCAGAACTGTCAATTTTTAGCAAATTTTTAAATATGTGACTAAGACCTCCAGATAATTTTCTTTCTTTCAAAGTAATGATAAATTATGCTTCACTCATTCTCTTGGATAACTTATTAAAGTAATGATTCTAAACACAATGCCCAAGGCATATTCGATAAGGATTATCTTACTATTCATTAAACAATAACTTAAAGCAACATACTAACTCTCTCAATATCTGATGGTATGTACTGAGTATCATACTCCTGTCAAAACAGTCTGTAAGATATAAATCTATAGTTTACAGACTAGTTCATCGAAAAAAATTATTCCATCATTCAGTCGATGCGATGTGTTAAAATTATACACTGAATATGCTTAAAACACTCACTTGCCTACAAACTTCAAGTTTGCTTTCACAGTTTCCTTTATCAAACGAATTACATCGAACCTATTTTTTGATTAAAACTTATTAATCTGTTACTAATAAGACGAAATAAAAAACTTAGCAAATTCTTCTTTAACAAGATTTCAAACCCACAATTTACACTTTTCACTATTATCCCACTTGATTTTGACTACTTTAATTGTTAATTTTGTTATCTTTAGATTGATATTATGGATGGATCAGTATTAGACCACCATTGAAAACCTGGAAGCACTAGATGACCGTTTTTTCTTAGTACAAGATTCCTCAGAAATGTGTATCCATGATCCCGCACACTAGACTTGAACCCAGGACCTTCAGTTTCACTCGCGAACGCTTAACCTCTATACCTCTGAGCCAGCATCCAACAGTGTTAATGCCTAATTTCAACCAATCCAGGTTTTTATTATCCTTGATAGATTTATTAATCATTTCAGGATTATAATAATAATGCAAGTAATTATATAGTTACCTTAATTTATAGCTGACCTTTTTCAACCTAATAATAATAAACCTTGTTTTATTACTTTGTAGATAGAGAGATAGATCGATGTCGAACTAGTTCAATTGAATTCTTTGTTATTAACCTCCTTCACTGTTTCATGTTTCATTATTTTATTCTCAACAGAAGAATGAACTATTTGAAAAGTATGTTGTTATTGTTTAATATGCTTATCGTTATGTTTTGTTCTTTAATTCAGATTGTTTCGGGATAATGAAAAATCAGTGGGATAAAATAAACTTTATAAGTTCTTCAAGCAGTATTTAATCTGTTCAACTCAAAATTAATCATTAGAATGGAATATATATATTCTAAACCCAGGCTGTTATAAGACAAAATCCTACGTAGACCCTTGCGATATTATTCATAACGGTAGTATGACCAGGACAGTTGACTAACCAGGTACTGAACTAAATACTTAGATTTCCTCTCTTATTCAATTGGATATATCGTAGTAGACTTGTTTGATACAATGGATTACAGTTTTTGTTACAATTTTTAAGAAACACAACCTGATGATAGTCAATATCTTACTTGGAAATCAATAACCTTTAGTTTGTAATAACAATCATTTCTTAAAGTAAGACTTTTCATCATCTTAATCAATAGAACATGTGAATATATGTACTGAATATTTAGTTATTTACCTGTCTGCAATACTTCCAGGACGAATATTTAAAATAACTGGAGCTTCACCTTGATTAGAACCATCAGAAACAGTTAACCCTAAATTAGACTTTTCTTCTTTGATGATTTCAACAATAACACGTCCAAATGCACTCATACCTGTAAAAGAATGATTCAAAAAAAGTAGATAAAGGATGATGATGATGATAATAATAATGTAAGAAATAAGATAATCTATATTTAAATGAAATTCAATTACAAACTATTTTTTAATAAGACTGCATTGGCAAGTGGCTATCAGGACTCAGTGGCTAATTGGATAATTAGATGGCGTTTGAAGCGAATGGTACTGGGTTCGAGTCCAAGAATGAATGTCAACTCCGAGATGCAGGTACATCCATCTGACGAGTCTCAAATAAGACGAAAGGCACGTCCTGGATTCCACTGCTAGCCATTATCCATCTTTGCTTATAATGCTTGTGAATTTATGCAATATGCACAGGATGCACATATGCCAATAAGCAAATGCTCGATTGTAGTCTTAAACCTCAATAGGAAGTTTCAAGCAAACAATGCTAAGTGAACTGTATTGGATTGTATGTGAAAAAAGTCATTCTTTGTTGAACTAAAACAAAGAATGAAAAATCCTTTTCTAAGAAGAAATCCCTCATCTTGGATAGGTTAATGAAATAGTTTCAAAAAATTTAAAATATTTATGAAAATTAAGTAACAATTTAATAGCAGTTGAACGTAACCAAATTAAGATAAATTAATTTGATTGGTAACTACAAATAGTTACAAATAAACTAACATTTAAACAAAAAACACATTTTAATGAGATTCTTATTTGAAATTCAGATTTTATAATGTTGAATAGTGAAATTAAAAAGCACCAAATTAGATGGTGGTTGGAGGCAGTCGACAGGAAAGCCTGGACCCGGGCCGCGACCGATCTCATGTAGGACTGAGATGTAATTACAATTGATTGATCACTGGGTGGTGATCAATGTCATGTGTGTCAAATCCTTACTAGTTCAGATCGAATGCTATCAAGGCCCGGATAGCTCAGTGGTAATGTCACTGACTGTGAAGCTGGTTGACACGGAATCGAATCCGTCAGGGAACACCAGTTCCCCCAAGATTACAGGTGAACCTTGCTGACGAGTGCCAAGTAGTACGAAACCCGGGTCCAGGGTTTCCTATTGACTACCTCCAAACGCAATTCAATCTCACCATATTGCACGCAGTTTTGAACAACCTAGACTAATGGCCACTTTGCAACATGGTCGATAGCATCCGATTTGCACTAAGAAGGACTCGACACACATGACATTGATCACCACCCAGTGATCAATCAATTGTGAAAAAGTACCAAAGTATAAAATCTTAGTTTGTGAAGTTATCACAGATTTATAATGGATAGTTTACCAAAGTAAATCAATATATACTTTTGTATATGACTTTTCAGTATTTAGACATTTGATGAACTGTTCAATTATCAAGAAATTCGACTTTCAATTTCGTTATAAGTTGTTTAATAAAATGATCAACTTTCGGAAACATACCTATGTTGTGTACTATTAGGCTACTATTCAATGAAATAAATTTGTACAAAATGAAGTTTCCAAGTAATTTTCTTAATCCACACAAACTGATGGTATATAAACTATTCATGTAGAAGTCAAATGATATTTCAAATAACTTTAGAAGACTGTAAATGACCAGACAGTTTAACTTAAAACTCCTTAGCCGCATACATTCATAATCCATATAACATCAAACCTTAGACCAATAATTTTTAGAAAGAGTATAAGATATTTAAACTAATATGTTAAAATCAAGTTCAAGGATGTGAAGGTAACTCACAGTTAATATTTCTTGAATTTTGCAGTCATATCACAAATTGAATGACGGTGAAAACTTAGCATTTTAGGATAATAACACTGACTGTATGATGTCTTATCCATTGTAAAAAATTAGTTACTCTAGGCTAAATATCGTGTGGGATACACGCAAATACTAGTGACTAATGAGTCTAAACCGCCGCCCCCCTAATTTTCAATAGCTTTCTAACTGACAACCATTTATCATAAAAACTATGTTCAATATGAAGTTTTTCATATAGATCTACCTTTCCAATTAGAATCAAACCCCTTTGCCCTTCAAACCTCCAAATGGTACCTTTTGGATTATTGACTTCTAGTATTCACCAACTTTTCAACGTGTAACGATAAATTAAATATTTGCTGTCATATAAATGTAGTTTAAATAAAACATGATATGATTGGTTACAACTGGGCTAAGAATGAACCTACTGAACTACTTTATTATGTAATCACAATATTTGTCTTTAACAAAAATTAACATTTAGCTAACGTACAAACACATTTCTTTATATAATTTCTATATACTTTTTCTCTTTATTTCACATAAACTGGCATTCCTATGTTTTTGATTGAGATCATGAACCGATTAATGTTAGACCACCACTGAAAACCTGGAAGCACTGGACATCCCTTTCGTCCTATTATGGGACTCCCCAATAGTGCACATCCACAGCCCCGCTCGTGAAATTCGAACTCAGGGCCTTCGACCTTACGCACGAACACTTGACCTCTAGGCCAATGAGCCAGCATCAACGGTGTTTATCTCTAACCTCAGCAAATCCACGAAATTGCGTGACCATCTTCCATTGTGCTGAGGTATGTACCTGTCTCTACCTGACATGGACTAGCTCCACTGGTCACTTCTCACTAAAAGTCCGAGAATTCCCTCACGAGGCTGGCCAATAGTAAGCACATGGTAATTATCAATTCATGATCTCGATCAAAAACAAACTTCACAACCCCATACTGGCATTTTTATGCAAGAAAATCAAATGAAAATATTAAGAAATAAAAATTATCATTACACTTATAACTAATAATAAATTAATTAAAGGTAATTAAATTATATGAATATATATATATATATATATATATATGCCTAATAATTTTTATGCATTTTATATTCCTCTTTTTGAAAGATTTGTTAATATGTCCATCCGTAGAATGAATACTAAAAATCTGACTGCTAATAAAACAGACATTATATGTAGTTGAAATTGTATTTAACGTTCCATGAAATATTCCAAAAATATATCTGAGTCAATTACTGAAGTATCTACTGTACCATCTGATATGAAATGACATACAACTTATCAACTATTTGTAGATTTACGTACCTAGCCATAAGCTATTTGTATTGTCTACAGATTAATAATGATGTTCACCTGAATGATGATTTGAACCTAATGACGTTTGATTGAGATATAAGTAGCTAAACCAGTCAGTTAAAGTCTAATTTAAGAAATATTTGTATTGGATGAGGATAGTTTAGTAAGACACTGCTTGGAGCTCTGTGATTCTGGTTTGATTCCGCATTTACTTCCAGTTAACTCTTTAAACTAATTTTCAACCATACAAATTTATCAACAAAATACCTAAGTAAATATTTATCATATATTCATTAACGACTGACTCAAAATTTTATTATAAAGACGTGAATAGTGCTATCATCTAAGTTGAGAATGAGACAGCTGGCAACCATTTACACTGAATAAATACAGCTCTACCAAGCAAGTTAACGAACTCCGGAAATGAAACTTATTTGTTTCCAGTTTAGATATTTAAATCGATCACAATTATCATGAGACTTGAATGTTCTGAACTCAATTCTGCATGGAGTCATGTGGTACACACAAGTACGAAGTCACAAATCATGGAAGAAGAATTGTTTACTCCTTTATCGTTTTGAGTAGGTCTCCATCAGGGGTTAGTTGGCTTTAATGAACTTTTGAAGTTTTATACATGATACTGTAAAGCATTATTTGGATAAAGAATTATCGCCGAAAAATATCTGCACTAGAAAAAATGTCAGAATTTCAGAATGATCGTAAATAAATTCCTTTGACCAACTAGATTATGATCTAACCAATCAACCTGAATATTTTGAACATTCCATGTAACAGCAGTCAACCAACTAATCACGTTTTACGCAAACTCAATTTACTATTATGGAATTATCAGAGTTTACAACTGAAGATCCGATAAATCTCAAATAAAAACTTGAAGCAACACATTGAAATTTTGAATCATAATAACATGCCAGATAAACTGGACCTATTTATAATTAAACGACCTAGTAAAAGCTGTAATTCAGAAAAGAGGTCTCTAAACATCATAGTCCAACATTGATATTTGAATTATATTACGAAAGATTTTTAATGAAGAAATACACTGTATTCTTATTCATTGTGTTTTAATGTGAACCACAACAATTTCATACTGAATTTTCACTATTTTTGCGGTTAAACTGAATTCATATTACCTTTTCTCATCATTTCTGTTAGTCGCTTAGAAATAATCAACAGTATCTATTCCGTTTCATAAGATCATTGTGGGGATTTATAGAGATTATAGTATTTTAACATTTGAATTCACGAGTCAGTCTAATCTATGCCACGATCGAAAACCCGTAAGCATCATACGACCATTTTGTCCTAGTATGAGACGCCTCGGCAGCATGCATCCACGATCCCGTATGTGAAACTCGAACCCAAGGCCTCCGGTCACGCTCGCAAACATTTAACCTCTAGACCATTGAGCTGGTATCCAGTTATCCCAGGTTCAAGTTCAAGGAGCGGGATCGTGGATGAGCACTACTGAGGCGTCACATACTAGGACGAGACGGTCGTCTAGTGCTTCCACGTTTTTACTGGTGGTCTAGCTTAGACCGACTCGTGAATTCAGCTGTTAAAATTACATAAGAGTTCTTAATTGAAATGTTTCTATTACAAATTTTGTTTAACAATTTGTTAAATAATTTCACTTTAATATCGACAATGCGACGAGAAGACGGAGGTTATCAGAATTATGCAATATTTATAATATGCTTAGCAGTAGAATCTAGGATAAGTGTGTTGTGTCCTAATTAAAACTCATCAGTTAAATTAACTTGAATCCTACTGTTGATACTTACAATGAGCAATGAACCGGCGAGACTATAATTTATGAATGAATCAATCAGGTATAAGATAATAAGTCTCGGATTTTAGCACGAAATTCATTCATCCATTTAGACAAATAGAGTTTCGACATTATAGCTAATGTCAGTTCATG